CACTGCTTTCAGTTCATTCCAGGCGGTGTGGACCAGCAGTTCTTGGGCGTCTTCAGGGTCTGCGTAGGAGTTGTTGAAGAAAACAAGAGCATCTTTCGCCAGGACAGCATCACACACTTCCCCACTGTACTGGGCGCAGTAGCCTTTGTTTTCTCTCTGGGATTTACTGAAAGAAGCAGGGAACAGTATTCCCAATCACATGTTATTTCTTAGCATTCAAGCTGCCTTTTTTTTTTGTTTTACATTTCCACATCTGCATCACAGAAATAGGAGAAGACTGTACTAACAAATTGGTTGAAATGCTCCATCTGAATATTGTCTTCATTTCCAGCAGCAATTATATTACCTCTAGCATAATAGCCAGAAGGCTATTATGAGGCTCAAAGGTGGTAACAGATGTGGAAAGCTTTGGAACCTCTCAAGGGCTGAATGGATGGGAGTATTTTTGTTATTTATATCATAAAGAAGATTTAACTACATTTCTTTTTTTTTCATTGACATGTAATCGATTTACAATGTGTTAATTTTTGGTGTACAGCATAGTGATTCAGTTTTATATATATATTAATATATATATATATGCCATATATATGAATATGTATTCCTTTTCATATTTTTCATATAGGCCATTACCCATTACAAGGTACTGAATATAGTTCCCTGTGCTATCCGGTAGGACCTTGTTGTTTATCTATTTTATACCTAGTAGTTAGTATCTGCAAATCTCAGACTCCCAATAAATTGACTACACATTTCTTACAAATAAGCTGATGTAGCAAGTAAACACATCTGAAAAACATATTCATCATGATGATTAATAAGTGATGATCATAAGTGAGTGAGCATAGGAATTGCTCTGACCTAAAAAGCTTGCAGCTTTATGAACATAGTTTATCTCAATGTTATGATAGTTAAGTATTTGAACTTTGCAGCGCACACCTTCCGTGCTCAGATCCTCTTACTCATACATCCTCTCAGCATTTCATTAAACGAGAAGAAAGCCACGCAGGGAGGAGAAAGCACTGGCTGTGGCTCTTGGAGGAGCTAAGCAGTACCTTCAGTTTTGCTATTTTCTCATCGCGTGTCTTGGGGAAACTCATCTGGTCATTCGGAGTCCCCAGGTCCTACTCTGTAAAGTAATGTCAGCAATTACCTGAACCCTGGTTACTATGTGTTAATGGGTAATGTAAGTGGAAAGACACTGTAAATTCTGCAGTGCTAGCACAAAAATAAGATTAAAAGCCGACCTGCTGTGACGACTGAAGAAGTCAACAGGGAGAATGGAAACTCCTGTTGGTGCTCTCCCCGCATGTCCACTGCTCCCTTAAATGGAATGCTGGGAATTGTAATGACAACTCCTGTTCTCTCTCACTTGACAAATATTTATTGAGCATTTATTATGTGTAGGCACTGTGATGGTCTCAGTACATCAAGATGCCTTCTTTCAGATATATCATTAACAGTGACAGCAAATTCAAATTGCGTTCTCATGTAGATTTGCACATCTGTGGAATTTAGCCTTTCACGATCTTTAAACACAGAATTTTAAGCTAAGGAAGATTAAACAAACTGGAATTTGTGGGAAATGTTTAAGTTGTTAGCAGACCCCATTTGAATTTGAAAAATTGATTTGAGTCATTATCGACCGGTCTTTAAAGCAAATCTGTTAAATGAGATACGACTCATTCAGGTAAAACAATGAACTTCCAAGAAAAACTGTATTTTAAAATAATATTTTGTCGTACAGAATCATTCTCTAATTCATGCTATAGCCGTTTACTAATTAGTCAACATGAATTTTATTGCATTATTTAGAATTCATCAGGGATTTTTTTAAATGAAGGGCCTTGAAAAAGAAAACACAAAACTCCCATGAAAATTTGGGCCATATAAGGTGGAGAAACCATCTAGAGAAATAGCTCATGACTCAGCCTTTTAGGGAACTTAGGGTAGGATGACACTAAGAAAGTTCTGGAGAAGCAAGGATGCTGTACTTTAAGAAACTGAGTAACAATACCTAATAACAAGAAATACCTCAAGGATGTGCAAAATGGTCACACATACTGATAATCCCTTGGAGGGTTGAGAAGAGTAGGCATGGCTCTTATCACTTAGAAACAACTGTATCACTTAAAAATTAAGTGTCTCTCCTAGTGTCTCTGAGCTGAGAATTATTCATCCATTCTGCTGTCATGTGTGAGCTATAAAATGATTATTTTTCCACGAATATTTTTAAATTAAAAAAGATCATGATTTTTTTCTTTAACTCTACAAGCAAAAACCATTTTTTAAAAAAGCATTGGAAACTAAGACAAATTATACAAAAAATGAATAAAAATAGCCTCAGAGACAAATATTATTAATAATCAATTAACGATCAATTCTTCTCTCTGGATTTCTGTTGCTTCTCTTTTTGAAACTATTTTATTTTCTTTTTAATTGAAGTATAGTCAGTTTGAAGTATAGTCCTCTTTGCCTGGATTAGCCCCACAAGATAAAGGATATACAGGACCATATAGATAAAGATACAGATATAGGAGTAGAGTGAGTGGTTTAAAAATGTGTAGGGAGACAAGTGTGCCGAATGGTGCGTAAATGAAAGACGGCATCTATTCTGTGGGTGGCCTGCACTTTAATTTGACTTTTACCATGTATATATTTATATCCGCATACATATCCATACATACCTATGAAGGCTGTCCAGTCACAGTTTCAGAGTTTAAACAACTTCCTTTTCCTTTTTCTCCTGTCTTTTGCAAACTTATAAAACCTCACATTTTATGCAGTGATCAAATTTTAGAGGCAAGGAATGGAGGCCAGTTGGGCCATTTTCCCCCCCTCAATCTCCTAACTCTATTACTTAAAATTTTTCTTAAAGGAGCTCACAGCAAAACCTAGGGATCAAGATGAAGGCAAAAAACTTCCACTGGTATCTTCTGCTGTCTTTTGCAAGTGATGAGTCCCCTTTCTGTCCGACTGAAGTTGTGTTTCTCCACATGCAGTGCTCGGGGCTGAGGATGGAGCAATACCAGAAGCAGCTGGTCCTGTTGCTCATTTGAACAGTGGGGCAGAGGTCACAGGGATCTGTTCACAGAATGCTGGTTATTTTGGAATGATCTGCCGGACTACCTCCAAAAATGCTAGTTAATACTGAGCGTGGAGCCAGTCCCTCCTTCGCCTCCTGACAAACTAAACCTGGCTGACCTCTCCTTCTGTAAAGTTTCTCTTTTTTAGAGGCAACAGGTGATACTTGATCCCAAGTCCCCCTTTTAACTTCTTTTATAACAGACAACTCTCCTTGGTCAAATATTTAAAGAATTTAAGTATAAAGTGGGTTTATTCAGTTAATAGATACAACCATTTTGGGGTTTGTAGTCAAAACTGCCGAACGCTAGCTAGAAAGGTTGTATCAATTTTCTCTCTACTGGTAGAGTTGGACAGTGCTGGTTTATCACAAGTGAAAAATGATATGGAATTTTTCTTTAATTAGCATTTATTTGACTACTAATCAGTTAAGTCTTTCATTTGCATTTACTGACATGGGAATGATTTATTTCTGTTCTTGAGCCCTTAGAATTTGTGCATGTTTCCATTAGAATGTTGCTTTGTAATTAATGTGTGTGTGTGTGTGTGTGTGTCCCCTAGTAAAATGCAGATTCCTTGCGGGCAGGGAATATGTGCAATTGGTTTTGTTTCTCCACTTTCCAATATAGTGCCAGGAACAGAGTGGTTTAAAAACGGACAGGAGGACAGGTGTGCTGTGAGGCATGTGAATGAAAGATGGCGTCTCTTCTGTGGGTGGCTTGCATTTTCATTTACCTTTTACCATGTTTGTGTCATGTACCCCCTTCAGTAGATACCCAGTTTCTCTATAGAGTCCTTCAGGCTCAGGACTGTCTCTTGGATCCGTGATAGCCACCTAATTCTCAGGTTCTATTTATCAGGTACACAAATGCATCAGCATTGTATGAATTAGGAAGAAGATTGCAAACAAACTTAATTTTCTTAGGCAATGAATTATTTCATTCCATGGAATTAGAATCAATGGCTTGAGTGGCAGGTCCTGCTTAGTTACTGTGTTACCTAGGTTAGCGAAGTATTTATAAATCGGAGTTCTTGAGTCTGTCTACTTGAGCTCAGATTGAGGCTTTGGAGTTAGCTTTGGAGTGATCATTTTGGAAGATCTGGGCAACATTTTATGCCTCAAAGAAATAGAGAGGATAGTTCCGGTCCCATAAAGTTGCTGAAACTAACATGAGAAAAGTGGTGCTCAAAAGTGTAGCACAAAACCTAACTGCTATTCTTATCATGAATTAATCATTCTGAATCTCAGTTTCATCATTTGTAAAATTAGATTAAAATAGTTGCCCCACGTCCCAGAGTTTCTATGCAAGTCAATTTTATGCAAATCAAGCTGTAAGTTTCAAAATGTGTTATTAGGAGCTACTTGCTTATTGACAGGACAAAGCTGTGAGGGAAAGCTTGGGAGTTGGTTCTGTGTCTCATTTCTAAGCCTGTCATTTACTAGCTGTGTAAGTTACCTGAACTCTCCAGTTCAGTTTCTGCACTATAGGGACCATCATAGCACTTATTATATAGGGATGTCCCGAGGATCGGCTTTTAAAATGCATGTAGAGGAGGGAGGCTATAGCTCAGCGGTAGAGGGTGTGCTTAGCTAAGCATGAGGTCCTGGGTTCAATCCATTAAAATAAATAAACTAAACTTAATTATCTACCCCCACAAACAAAGCAAAACCAAAAAAAAAAATTTAAGAAATGAAAAAATAAAATGCATGTAAAGCTCTTAGCACAGTGTCTGATACATAGTAAATATTCAATAAGTAGACATTACGTATCTTCAAGTTCATTATCACTTGGTAAGAGTATTAAAAGGATGAGAAATTGGAAAGTTTCTGAGATTACAGTGCTCAACCAATAGGAAACACTCAATAAATCGGACGTCAAACAAAACCAACCGTTGGTATAGTAACAGCACCTTACCTCCATTCTATCAGCAGGAGAGGCAGTCCCCACAGGAAATCCAAGTAGAGGGGAAAAGAAAGGAAAGTTAGTACATTTGCACCTCAAGGTCTGTAAGAGATAATTTGATACTTCTCTTCTCTAAGTTTCTGCAAAGTTCTCCACTTGGGCTAGGAGGTCAGACACTGCATTAACAGGCAGATTTGGAGAAGGAGATGAAGAAAATATTCAGTGTCTCCCGGAACTGATTCTTCTTTCTCCAGGCTCAGTATCATGAGCCCAGGCAGTATCACGGGTCAGAACGTCCCTCCGTCAGCCACCCAGGGACTTTGCATCAAGAAAGCAAGATGTGGAGGCTGAACGGGAAGAGGAGAGAGGGGACCGGCGGAGGAGCCGTTATTCTCACACACCCACTGGCTTCACGTGGTCACACAGGCTCTCACACTCATAAAGACTTCCAACTTAGTTTAATGCTCTGCCGTTATCATCTTGAGATACTTAATAATTTTTTAACAAGGGGCCCCACATTTTCACCATAAATTTTGCCCATGGAGGTGAAAGTTCAGGGCCCTGAGGGCATTGCCCTTCTCTTCAGGTGAATTACTGGGCTCCCAGTGTGATTGGCCCCAACTAGGACTCTCCCAAGGCAAGAGGACTCTTAGGAGGGGGTCATGTGACCAGCACTTCTGAATGATTCCACCGCTTTTTGTTTAGGAAATCTAAAACTTCACAATCTTGACCGAGCACTTTGTGGATTACTTCCTACTGTCCTCCCCAGCCCCCACTATAAAAGTAAGAAGTAAAACCTATGCTTTGGCAAAACCAACTTGGTTTATTAGAATTTCTGAAGTCTAACTCCTTTGGAAATTGGTAGGTCCATTTGGGTGTTAGTCTTTTGGCATTTTTAGGGATTCAAAAATGAATTCCTCTGAGAAGCCAAACTTCTTGAAAAACCTTATAAATCCCATAGTTTATATTTCTGATCATTCTCTTTTACATTGGTGGGGATTGGTGACTCTGAGGTTTTTGTAACCGTGCATGTGGGTGACTTTTTATTCTATATGGACTTTTTATTTAATGAGCCTGAAGATGAGGATAAGGCTTAGAAACCAACCTACATGAGAAACCTACATGACCCAAACTTCAGGGCAATTCTGCCCCTGGGCAGATAGAGCGGATGGAAGGAACATCAAGAAATTCTTGCAGAGAAAAAGGTATATAATTTGGAGGAGTAAAGACAGATTCTAGTAGCAGCTGAGCAGGGAAACCTATTGAAATATGAAAAGGCCAAGTTTATGTATATGAAAGAGCCCTCAATTTAAAAAAGTAAAAGGGAAGATTCAATATGTATAGATGAATGAATGCTAAAGAGAATCCAGCCTTAGAACTTGGAAAAAGATAATAAGCTTAGCTAGGCTTCTATTTCAAAGACATGTAAGGAAAGAAAAATCAAGGTCATTTAAGGGTGCTGAGTCTTCTCAAGCATATTAAGAGACTCAGAGGATGATTCACTAGGCTTCAATGTGTTTCTTACAGAAATTTCTCCAGTCACATTTTCTTTTAGGGTGGGGGAGGTGGGGAGCAGGGAAGGGGTCCAAGAACCTTGCAATTATTAATAAGCACTTTTATCTCAACACTAGATTCTTTAAAATTCCAAAAGTTTCCAACAGTCATCAATACTTGTAATATCTTTTAAATTATCTGGAAAAGCCAGTCAAATGTTGGCTCTCTTCTCAAACATACAGCCAATCTAATATAAGAAAGCTGCCTGATTGTAAAAAAGATGTTTACCTCTTAGGCTTAGCTGCAGAACAGCTGGTAGCAATTTAGTGTGGCTACTGGCTGTTAGTCATTCATTCTTTTCCGTTTTATTAGAAACAAAAACAAACACCTTTAATCAATTTGAAACCATATGAGTCCACCATGAAACACCAGGGGACGGAGTCTGTTTTGCTAATAAGAACACATTCTGTCCATCCTGGCTAAAGCACTGGGTGGTAGAGGGAGTCATGTGCTCCTGCAACATCATCACATGTCTCACAACTGGGGAAAACATTGCCAGGGACACAGGAGTGTGACCATGAGACACTAGAGAGAGTTTGAAACATGGTAGTATATATGTGTGGGTATATTTCTGTGTGATGATCATGAACATATGTTGAATTTTGTCAGGTGCTTTTTCTGCATCTGTTGAGAGGATCATATGATTTTTAGCCTTCATTCTATTAATGTGGTGTATTACGTTAATTGATTTGTGTATGTTGAACCATCCTTGCATCCCAGATATAATTGCCACATGATCATGGTGTATAATCCTTTTGATGTGCTATTGAATTTGGTTTGCTAGAATTTTGTTGGGATTATTTTTTGGTCTATATGCACCAGGGATTTTGGCCTGTAGTTTTGTTGTAATGTCCTTATCTGGCTTTGGTCTCAGGGTAATAAAGACTGGTGTTAATTTTTCTTTAACTGTTTGGTAAAATTAATACCTATGTCTATTTTGATGGCCTCTGGCTCTTCCAGGACTGTGCTCATTACAGGGGTCGTGAGCTGCCTTGCTGGTCTCTGTCATAAAGCTGAGGGTTCTGATGACAGAGGGAAGGCATCTTGCCAACAACCCGGCATCCTGGTGAGTTTGAATTGCAACTTGAGCCTTTCGAGATTGCGACTGGAAGGGAAATGGAACTTCCTGGTTCATAGGGAGAGGTTCCAAAAGTTTTTCTGGCTCCTTTTGATGACTAACAGCAAATGTAAATGAATCAGAAAGAAGTATATCACATTTCTCAAACAATGCATATGAATCTGGGTATACACATGGAAGAGTTTTGGGAAAATGAAGGCTGATCTTTACTTTTTTGTTGTCTTTCAAACACTAGAAATATCATTAGATATAATCCTCAGCACTAGAGCAGATTTTTCCATTTCCTGTTTTCCTGCTGGGATGAGTAAATAAACAGATGGAGTGAAATCTTCAAAGTGAAACACAGAGAATGTGACAAAGAGGGCTGTTGACTATAGAACACTAGGGAAGGATGGAGATGGCTGAAATGAGAGAAAGGAGAATTTAGGGTAAGGAAGCATTGTTGCTAGAATGTTAATAGGAGGCACCATGTCTGACTGTAGGCTCTGGACCACTGGCCAGCCCCATCAGAGGCCAAGGGAGAAGGAGGCCAAAAGCAGAAGTGGAGAAAGCAGGTGTCACAACCAGGCCCTGGGAGATCTGGAAAGCCCGAGACCATGCTTTGAAATGATTCTGAATTAAAGTGGCTCCACAGATCCCCTTTTCAACAAAGTGGCCTCACTTTCCTGGAATATTGGTTTGGGTTGCACCCCAGAGTTGGAAGGTTATTTCCCCAGTGTTGGTTGGGGGACCTTTTTGAGGCATTTAGCAACTTTGACTGAAAAGAACATGTCTCTTGACATGGTTCAGAGGTCTTATTCCATTGTACTCATGAGACAACCTCATTAGATCTGCCTGAGGACATTTTAGGAAAAGCAGGGGAGCTTCAAGTCTCATAGTCAGTGGGATCCAACAGGAAAAACAGATCAGGAGATGAATGAAAGGGTCTTGTACCTTTTTATGAATTAGCTCCATGAGGGAGTCCCTCTTTACTCATTTTAGTAATTTTTTTTTCCCGTGGGCAGATGTAGTCACATTTATTGGTTCAAATACAGTAGCTAACACTTGCTAAACATGCATTGCCAGGCTTGTTGGCCAAAGTCAAGTCATTGCTGTTTCAGTTTGCATGACCATCACCCCTACTGAGGTCACAGCTCCTTATCTGCATTCACCTCTCCTGCTGCAGCAGGTTTCCAGCCCTCTCTGCTGCTGTATGCCAATCCACACATTGCTCCCACCATCCATTTCTTCACTGCAAATTCTCTGGCAATTTTTCCCGGGCTGCCGTGGCTGATTGCTCTCATCCTCACTCTGGTCTATTCTCAACATTGACCACTTCTCCCTGCGTTCTGGGACAGTGCCTTTTTATGATGCCTGTCCATAATTTAAGGCTTTGTATAACCACCAGAAGAAGATACCATTACTTTCTTTAGGATTATAGTTTCCTCTGTTGGTATATTCCACTTATTAATGGTGTTGGATCAGGTTCTCATTTGGACTAGGACAGGGATGAAGGGGGGTGATGTTGCTGTATACAATATGGTGGCACTTAGGCTCTGTAGTCCTTTTAGCATCTTGGAGATCATGTCATGTGATGGATCTGCCTTTGTGTGGGGAAGAATATACCCATTTTATCAGGTTCTCCTTCTTACTGGTCATAGCACTGCCTTCACACCCATTTTTGTACTATGATGGGCAGGCACTGCAGGTTACAACACTAAAGAAGGTATCCCTGACCAGTCCCTCCAGCTTGGGAGGTAAAGGTGGAAGGTAGGGGAATTAAGAATTCAGATCCACATTTTATAGATTCCTTTCCCTGGACCAAAGTCCTAGAAGAGAGGTGTGTGGATAAAGACAAAGGCAAAGCCAAGGGAGGAGGGATAAGGAGGGCGCTGACTGGGATTTCAGCACACCTGGCTTTACAGGGAGAGCCAGATGACCTAGGTGCAGAGGTTGCAGAGTAGACTCTAGAGAGGGGCTTGGTGAAGGATTTGGCTGGGATGTAGAGGGTTGTGTTGTTATGGAAAGAACCTGGATGGGGCTGAGGCAGACAGGGAGATCCTCTGGGTCCCAATCAAGCCAAGAGATGAAATCACTAGTTCTTTAGCTGTAGACTTCACCAAAGCCCAGGGGAGTTCCCGAGGATACAGCTGCGTGAATCTAAGTTTCCTGCTCTCCTTCCATCTAGGGAAGAGACAGAAGGAGGAAGGAGACAAAGAGATGTGGGAGGGAACTGATCTTTGAATGACTGAATAATCACCTGAAATGAGACTCTCTTAAGATTAGCGACATTAATTTTCCTCTTCTAACCAGTGGAGGTATAGGGTAAGCTAGATTAGATCAGTTTATTTTCTTGGATTTGGGTATTCATATGTAAATGTTTCTCCTTCTCTCTGCACACACACAGATGCTCTATTAATGTATAGATATAGGTTATATAAATACATATTTATGTATTTAACATTGGGTCTTGATCAAATATCAAATGAAACACAAGATAGACTAGAATAATTCCAAGTAATTCAAAGGCACCAAAAGTGTAATTATTTTCTTATCTCTTGAACCTTCTCATGTTCTTCAGTTTTGTTTTATCTATTATGGTTTGTTCTAGACACCCTCCTCAAAGTCTCAGACACATCTTAAGTCCTTCTACACACTGCCACATTTAAGCACTTCCAAATCTTAGCCTCCCTGTCCTGGGAGGTCTCACGCATCTCTGCTCTTCTCTCTCTCCCAATTCTTGCTGTTGTTGTTCAGACCTTGATTACCTTTCCAGACTCCTGGAGTAGCCTCCAGACTGCCTGCCATTCCTCCCAGTCTTCTCGCAAGCACCTGTTGACTTGATAAGGGGTATATCTGACCATATCACCTGTCTCCTCTCAAAAAATTAGATGACTTCCCATTAATTGAAGAATACAGTCAACCTATTCAGGCTCTTCATAACCCAGCTGGAGCTCGCATTTCGTACGTTTCTTCCCATCCTCCACCTCACTCCCAGTCCCCATCATGACTTGCTCTTTTCTGAACTCACTTCAACATTTTCATCTCCAACTCCCATCTCCTGTTCAAGTGGTATTCCTTTAAACTCTCCCTATTTTTTCTGCTGTTGTACTTTGTCTGTGTTCCTGCATAGAGCGCAGTCTGTGCCATAATGTATGTGGCCAGCGGGCTTCCTTTTTAGATTGAGTCCCTGGAAGACGGGGACTCCATTGTTAATGATCCCATTTGCTAATTAAGTTTGCATCCTTTACCCAACACAATGGACTGAACCCAGTGCATTTAATAAATGCACACAAGAGTACTGTATAAACAACAAAGTGCTATGTCAAGAGGAATCATTTTATTATTTGTTAAATTGAGTTGAGTTTACTTTTGAGATTCTCATCCTTCTCTGGGAAAATGATTTCCCATCAGTGGAAATTCTAGAATGACTGATAGGATGTCTCAGAATACTGTAGGCAGTTCCCCTGGAAAAGAAGGCAGAAGGGATCCTTGGTTTTGACATCTTCTCTTTTCCATCATGGACAGAGGGCCAACCTTGTCCCATGCTCTCTGTGTATTTCTCTGTGTCTTTATTCACCTGCTGCTAAAAATCACCAACATTACTGGACGTTTTCCCATCAGGAAAGATCAAAGAAGTGGCCTTGTAATAAGGAATATCAGGCTCTGGGGAGCTGGCCCTGCTCACAGGTCCTACTAGTGCTTGTCTCACATGTGAGGCCAACATCTCTCTGTTGACCCTTGGGCAGTAGGCATGCTATGACTGTATCATGCCTGGCATTTCCTGATACAGGGATTACTTCCATCTCTAGGAATTCCACAAATGTTTGCAAAGCCTTTGGGACATTGAAATTTTAAAAATAAACCTTTATAACTCAACACAAATATCCTAGAAATCCATGTGTCAGCCCTTGTCCTCGAAAATACCTGTAGGTCCTGCTATCAGTTGCATGAAACAGGAAAGGGAGAGACCGCAAGAGAGATCACATACTCGTAAGTAAAAATGCCTTCAAAAAATAGCCATGCAGAAATTGGCACAACCATGTTAACTCTCTGCCAACTTTTGAGAGCCTTGGAAAGTTTGATTAACCCTGAGAGAGAATGAGGGAGGAGGAAGGGAAGAAAGAGAGGAGGGAAAGGAAAGAAAAAGAGACAAAAGGAGGAAGGGAGGGAAGAATAAAGAAAAAAGGGAAAAAATGGGAAGGAAAGTGAAGAAAAGAAAAGAATGAAAGAGAAAGAGACTGAAAGAAATGAACTCTTGGAAGCTGTTACCCATCACTTGGGCAGATATTTAAGGAGTTAGTTTCTGAAGCAACAAATCAGCCAAAATCAATTATCCAAGTCAACCTCTGGAGTGTCGCTATGGAGGAAGAAATATCCTGAATGGGACTGGAGTAAGAAAAAAAAAAAAGATTTCCTCCAGTGAAAGATGTCATAGAATAGTGCCAACTCTCTCCTCTCCTGGAGCAATGAGATTGTGAAAATCCATCCTACCTGCTATGCTGATGGTGGCTGCAGCCTTTGCAGTACTGAATTTCTCTCCATGCTTATTAGTAGCTATGCACGTGTAGAGTCCTGGCTTGGTGATAAACAGCTGCAGTCTTGAGTCAATAACTCGGTCTTTCACACTTTCTTGAATGGACCCAGAAGAAACCTGGTGGAGTTGGGGAAAAAGAAGATAGAATTAGGTCAAAGATTTCCTAATATGCTGCATCAGTAGACTGCAAAGAAAAGGGATTAGGACTATAATCAAAAGGCGCATGGTAGATTGTTCAAATTGCCAAAAACTTTTCTCTCTGCCCATGACCTTGCAACATGACTTTGTAGCTCTTCCCTCAAGAGGTAGCATTCTTCTCCATGCTTTGAATCTAGATTGGCCTTGCGACACATTTCACCAAGACACAGGCTCTTGTAAAGTTCTTGCACATTGTGGCTTGCTTTCCTGTTGCCCTTGGAACCCGTGACCTCCTGTGAACAAGCCAGAGCTAGCCTGCTGGAGGATGAGGCACACATGGCCCAGTTATCCCCACTGCTCCAAGTGGGAGCCAACAATAGCCACCAGGTATACAAGTAAGGCCATTCTAGACCAACCAGCACCCAGTCAACCTGCCAGTCACAGGATCTAGATCAGCCAAGATTAGGCAATCTTGGCCCAAGTCAGCAAAACCAACCAGCTGACCCACAGACTTGTGAGCATCAATAAATGGTTATTGTTCTAAGCCATTATGCTTTGGGGCGTTTGTGATACAGCAACAGATAACTAATGCAAGGTAGGAAGGATACACTGTGTGGATTCACCAAGATAATTCTCTCTGTCTTGAAGAGAGAGACAGTCAATTATGAGAGGTTGCAGACTTTTGGACTTATTTTCATAACTCTGTTCAGTTCCCCATAAATGCACATCAGATAGATGGACGGTTATCAATAAAAATGGTTGTACAACCAATTCTATTTTGGCCTCACGACTTAGATTAGACAATCCAATTAGACAAGTCCTCTACGAGCTAGGATATCAATACAATATTAGGAGATAATTGACAGGTTAGTTTATGTAAGTACGCATTAGTCATCATTATTCCAACTCTGAGAAAGACAGCTGCCCGGCTCACTCTGTTGGAATTTACACCCTAGTTCGTCCGACCGCAAAGCCTGTGCTTTTAATCATTATGTTTTAGTGCCTTCCCTAGTCCTAGCAAAAGCAATAAATGAAGAGTTATTAGAAAACATGAACAGTAACAACAGTAACCTGAAATCAACCATGAACAAAATACACGTCTGACTTCAACGTCATTGTTAAGGTGATAACATCTTTTTTTTAAGTGGTGATTCTTTCTTCACTGTTTTCTTGAGCACTAGTCCATCTTTTCAATAATTATTCTTTAATTAACTATCACTGCTCGTATGAGAGGAAGATGCTAGTTGGAGGTGAGTGTGAATGGAATGACAACCAATCAGCTAATGGTTTACCTTGACCTGATCTTGGAGGAGTCGGGGTGGGGACCATGGTGGCCTTGAAAGAGAGCTTTCTGTCTGGTAGGAGACAATGAGGCTGGGAGTGAGAAACTTGGAGCCAGTTGTCTTACTGTTTCACATGAGGGAGGGTTTCACGGTTGGACCAGCCAGAAAGAGGGAAGCCCTGAGGTGACACCAGCTTTCCTTCCGTCTGCTGCCAGGGCGTGGGCTGGCTCTGGAACCAGTAACTCTCTAGAGCAATTAGGCTGTGAGTTTGTCCAATTAATTAGCTTCTTTGTCTTCTTATTCTTTACCTGCGCTCCTTGTCTCCACCCTTATGAGAAAAACTGGTTTACGGGAACATCGATTTACCTGAACTGGGAAAACTTCCCAGGTCAGATCAAGTATTGTGACATTTTCCCCAGATTCCCCAGATAAGAGGGAAAGAGAAAAATAGGCAGAGAGAAAAATATCTTAACACTCAGTTGGGAATTCTCACTGAATTCATCATT